CCAATTCCCAGCCACACTCATCAGTTGTGCTAGAAAGTTGTGATGCTCATCATATTATTTTTGCTGCTTCTGGACATTGTTGGCAGGACAGAATAAGCTTACAGAGGTGGTTATAGGAACCTATGCAATCTTCTCCTTGCTAAAGCCTGACTCTTCTTTCGCTTACAACTTCCTGCTCCCTCTTCTGCTGGGCACACATCTCTAATCCAACACTCAGAAACTACAGCATCTTTTTATTTATTTCACACTGCAAAGTTCCACCCATTTTTCACCAGATCAGTTATATTTGCCTTTTATTTTTAGGATTTAAAATTTGTCCTGCACACAGTCTTTGGGAAACACATACCAAACTGCAGCAAATCAATAATTCATTTGACCGACAAAAAAATCCAGCAGGCTCCCTCTGAATCCTAACTACACATGGACAGATGCCAAATAAACCTCTTGATCCAGAGCCATTTAGAGCTCTGTTCTCTGGAAGCCATGTGGGCTCAGAAAGAATATGTTTCCAGGCATAGGTGTTTATATTCTTGCACATCCTTCCTCACAAAATGAACCCAGCATATATTCTAGTCGACCCCTGCATGTAAAAGAAAAGGAAAAATGGACCAGCATTGAGCTATGTTTTTAATATCAAACAGCAACAGTTCTGTCAGACCAGCGGGGAAAGTAAGAACAAGAACTGCAGAGCTTTCCCTACAATCAGCCTGACGCCTGCATTGCTCTGTACAAACAGAGAGTACGGGCATTCAGATGGACCTCAAGGAGCGCATGTTGCAATAACCCAATGTGAGGGGCACAAAGAACTGGCTAAAATATGGCATTAAACATAGCTGCAACTGCCTTCCCCAATACAGAAGATGAAAATAAACACACTTTTGCTCAATGAAACCAGCTCAGACAACACTTATTCACCAGCTACAAAAAAGCGACAACCAGTGGGCCTAATTAAGGCAAACGTCATCAGACATTCTACTTATCCTTAAGCTTGTCAAAAGTCACTATTACTGTCTTAAGCAGCTTTTACTATTCCAGGTGTAGACAGAAGTTCTGCAAGGGTTTTGGTAGGCCCTCTACCCAATGCGAGAGGTGGCAAAACTGCTAATAGTTGCTGTGAAATGTTGTTAAAAGGAAGAGAGTCATCTTGAAATCTATGGCAAACACAAATATATGCTGGAGGGAATTCAACATAGACAGTTCATACTCTTATGTTCATCAATGACAGCAAATTAAAACTGGTCTTACGCACTCAATGCACAGGACCAGAGTATTTAAAAAAAACTCAATATGTTAAGCGCAGTATATCTCCAGAGAAATTAGGTATTGACTGCATGCCTCAGTGAGTAGAAAATCTACAAAAATCCATAGGAGGCATTGATCCAAATATTACTTTTTAACACTAACTATGTAACAATTTTTTAAATGTACACTGGGTGCAGATATAATTCTCTTTAATTATCAATCAACAAACAAAAATGTAGTACTGTTTATACAGTATGGTCTTTAAAAATGAATACAATGAATACACTCAAATACTACTCTAAAACTAACAATGCAGTTGTGCCACATGAAATCTGCATTAAAAAAAAAAAAGGTTTTAAATTTAAAAAACCCACATGCTGGTTGCAATGAGATCCAGCCACCAAATACAGGAATGCTGACGGTGCCGGTCAGATCTTGTGGCAAAGTCCAACTTGGGCCCTGACTTGGTTCAAAGTGAACTCTAGACGTAGACAGGGGATGTAACTGAGGTTGCGACGAATATTTGCAAACACCTGCCAAGTCTGGAAGTCCCCAAGCAGTGCTGTGGCACAGAAGAGCCAGTCTGTGGGGCCCACACACACTGGGCAGAGCAGAGGTAAGCCATGCAAAACTAAAGACAAAACCAGCATGGAGAGCTGGGACACGAGGCAGGGCAGCTGCTCCTAGCCTTTCCCAGCTCAGGGGGAATTCTTCAGTTCCAGCACAAAGTCAAAGCCATCAGTACCATCAGTGTACACCAGCATGCACTGAAGTAACTTGTTTGAAGGCAGCAATTCGCCATCAGCTGCCACAGGAACAGCACATCCGACTCGGCCCTTACCAGAGGCTGTCAGAAGAATACGGACTAATTCTACCACCCAAAAGTGTTACCATGCAGTGGCTGCTGGTAGGAAACTTTCTGGATCTCAGTGGACTGCCTAACCTCTACATTGAGGTTGAGCTGATGAACTGTACAGAGAGCCTGGGGAATAAACAGGCATGCAGCTGAGCTAAACTCTCAGTTCAACTAGGGAAACACCAGTGTTGATTTAAATTAGTGGGAAGTAGTTACATTTCACTGGTGTTATGCAAGGAGGTTATCAGCTTCAAGCATTACAAAGAGGCACTTTTGAAAGCAACAAATTCATAACTTGTTTTAAGTTTCAGCATGTACCTCAAATCGCTGTATATATTCAGGATGCTACTTTATGAGCAAGTCAAAATGTTCTCATTTGTCTAGCCCAGTGCAGCAACTGGTACTATTCAACGTTTTTGAGGTTTGAGATATTTATGTTGCTAAGTACATTCAGGAAACACCCTCTGGAAAGGATCTCATTTATATAAAATAACATTTGAAAATTAGAACTATATTCCATGTGCATTGAAATAAAAAAATACTCCACTCTGAAAAATCAGGTAATACTAGAATGAAGGCTATCTATGCAGCTTCAATTTGCCATCAGCAAAGCAGTCTTTAAACACCTTTCAGAAGAGCACCCCACCTCACTTGGTACATCAGACTGTGCTGAGACTCAATCATAAGTCGGGAGTACAGGAGACTGTTGAGCAAAGCAGCCCTTTGCCCCAGCTGTTGGAAGTCCTTCAGTATACTGAAACATATTCGCAACTCTAAACCTCACAACAAGAGGTGAGATGATGGAAGCCAGTTGCTGTGTTCTGTCATCCGGACCTGTGCAATCTCTGACAGAAGTCGCTACAGATGCATATTTTCCCTGGGATGTTGAGAGACCTGCTGCAAATGGGAACTCTGGTAATTTGACCTTAATGGATTCAGGCTGTTACAAGGTCAGAGCTGAGGCATTCAATGGGAATAGTTTGGATTCTCTGCAACATAACAGATACCACATCATGTTCTGCAGGCTTTTCCGGCAGGAGCATCAGAAAAATCTGTAGATTTTCTGTTTGCAGCTATTAACAAGCAAAAAATTTTCAAGTGGAAGATGGGGTAAGCTCCCTCAAGCTATCTTTCTGAATATTTTGTTTTCTGGAGTCCTCTGCTTTTCACCAATTCCCATCATGGCTTTAGCTACCTGAGGGGGTAATCTAACCCACAGATTGCAAAAGACAACTTAACTCACACTTGCATGTGCACACCTTTTGCCACCCAAGTTTGTAAAATTTCCCTACTCTTTCAAATAAAAGGAATTACCTGTCCTGTAATCACATACCCATCAACAGACACCTGTCCACTAGACAAACTAGCTGCTCTAACTATCCAACTGCCAAATCCCAAATACTCCAGCTTCCACCTATTCTTCAAACAGCATCCACATCAAATACTAGTACATGGCCACATTGCTCACACTACCAGGAAAAACAGCCAGAGTCAGATCTCCAGAAAATGCACTGTATGCTTGGGAGGGCTAGAGTCTGAAACAGACGCTCTCTTCACCACAAAATATTTTTTAGCAGGTGAAATTGTGCAATTGTCTTAGCAGCAAATACTTGACAGTCTTATTTCATTTTTCCTAATGACCAGAGTTAAACGATTGCAGGTTTTAACAGCGCCGGCAAATTATCAAGACCCTCTACATTACATGGTCAATGGTCCTTTTAATAGAAAAAGCAATAATATACAGTTGTTTGTGCCAACTAAAACTCGTTAGAAAGTATTAGTTTAAGGTAACAGTTCAGCAGCTATTAACAAGCACAAATTTCTACAGTTATTGCTTGTGACACTATGATCCTAGCAAAGCTGGCAGCAGAAAACCATTCCTTTTGTTTTAGAAGATCCCAGGGGTAAGGGGGCTGGGGGAATAGGGGAAAGAAAAGTTAACAAAAACAGTGTTTCGTAGCAAGAACCAAAGTTTTTCAATAATCACCATTTTTTTCACTAGCATAACATTAGAATTGACTTTTTGTCTTGCTGACATAGCAACTAAGAAAGTTGTGTTGCATTGACCATATTGATTGTGAACAATGCAGCCATCAGTGGGACTCTGCACCATATATTTTCGATATTGACCTCCCATTCCCTTTTCCATGGCTCTATGGGTCTGCTATTGGATTTGGACTGCAGTGTAATAAACAGCTAAGGTTTAATTAATGGTAAATGAATACAAGACATAGGTTATGACTTTAACTAATTAGGGAATTGTTGAATTAAGTCTGCCTTGGAATGCAAGGCAGTACAATCAATATCCAATAAAAGGACTATGTATGTAATTTACCTGCAAATGTGTTTCCAATACCATCAAAGTGAGTTTAAATAAGTAAGATATATGAAAGGCTACTGGAAAAAGATTTCAAAAAGTTAACACTTTATGGCTTCAAAAAAGGTTCTTCTCCTTGCTGAAGAAATGTCATCTTGAAATATCCTCCCATAACACAGATGGTGACACTCAGACACAGCTCTCCCTAAAGGACAGTGCAGCCTCGAAACATTTTTCCTTGACAATGCAACACTAGCAAATATTGCCTCTGCCTCTATAGAGTATAGCAAAAGCAAACCAGTACTCCCAACATGAACCAATTAAGTTTAATAGCAAGCTCTTCTTAGGGCGTCTTGGTCCGCCTTCCAGTACCACACGTGCAGCAGCCTTTCAGTTTTAATCGTGCTGCCCCTCTTCCCCCACGAGCCTTGGAAAAGCCTTCCCAGGCACAAGAAGAGGTCACCACACAAGGGTCTGATCAACCCTGAGCAATCCCCAAGACTACTTCTATTGTATACATCAGCTCACACAGCCTGATTACTCATTCTGTAATCACTCCTCTGAAATAAAAAAAAAGAAACCTACCTACTCCCTTGTGGGCATCTACGCTGGTAAACTCTATTGTCCCATTATGGCCCTTCCTAGGATTTTCCTGATACTGTTTGTGGTTCCCATTGGGACAATATCTGTAGGAAAGTCCATAATCTGCAAGATAAACCTGGAAGACATGAACAGACAAATGAATAATGCTTTTGTCCTTTGAAAGTATAACCTTTATAATTAAGTCTTAAGAAACTGATAGGTTAAGGACAGCCTTAGATCTAAATTTTATTAAACCAAATGGTGCCTCAGGATAAAATATGTACAACTGGGGGCTATAACAGCTGCCCTCCCCATTTAAATCCTTCCACTACTATACTCTTATCTTATTTCAGAGTCGAGCAGAATTTCAGTCTTTTTATTTTGTTCCCAAGCTCTCTCCTCTCCAGGTGGGAATCTAGACATCATAAATTGCAATATGCCTTTTATGTACCCTCACGTTGCTTATGGGACCCCTTCCCCTCCTTACTTAAACAGGAAAATATACACTCCTGTTCAAATTTTCCAACAGCTGAGACTGTACAATTTCATAACAGCAGTGCAACTTAAAATCCAGAGGAAGCAAAAGGCAGCAGCTTCCCCCAGCCAGACTGGACACAGGGCTCCAGCGCTAACAGGGAGTGTGACCACAGGGCTGCTGGACATCAGCCTAACTGTAGTCTCATCTTTCTGAATGTCACTGTCAGTAACTTCATACTGGCAACAACTATTTAAACATAAAGTGTAAGATGAAACAAAGCAAAACAACTAGCCCCCCTCAACCCAGAAAGCAATCTTAGTAAATCACTCCTGAATTTATAATAAATTTTAAAAAGGCACAGAGCCAGTCTTCACTCTAAGTTACTGTGAAGCAAATCCATGGAGCTAAATCAGCGTAAGAGAAAAAAATTTGGGCCCCCACTGTGTATACTGCAGCAAGCTCATGCATTCTGCCCCACTTACCTTTCCATCCTGCACAGGTGATTTTTTTTTTTTCCAAGATGCTTCACTGTAGCTATCTAAATAACCAGAGGGAGGAAGCCCCACAGTTCTGAATGACGTATCTGGGAGATGCACTTGCATATTCTTGGGACTTGACTGTAAAAGTATTAACTGACTTTAAACTTAGTCTTGCTCACTTTTATGGTATTTGAAGCTGAAAACAGTACAGCTCAGGAGAGCTGAATTTTACTTTCCATTCTTCTGCTGGCTGTCAAGACAAACCCAAACATGCCATCTGGCTCCTACGCCTCTGTAGAGAACTATACGCATAGCGCATGTGGTGCTGCATCTATGTCAATTCTGCCACTCGCATGATTTAGATTAAGGGCACAAGTCCACTCTATGAAGTTCAGATTAACAAGTTCTACCCTCCAACAGGGGTAGACGTAATACATGCACATGGTCAATTACTGCAGCGCAGCTGACAAGCAGTAACTTGTTGAAACCAGCTGGAATTTAATCACAGTCTGTCCACCCCACAATATCCCATAGGTTATTTTCTCACTCTGTCATTTTCACACTCCCACCTGGCCTTTGCCCCTTACATTGACCAGTTCTCACATTAGGTAATTGCTTTTTTTATAAATATCCAAGTATGGTACCTTCACTTAAGAGAAAAAAAAACAACACAGACTGTTATTATATTGTCATTGGAACTGATCTCTTGGGCAAAAGCTAAATCATCTGAAGCCATATAAAGATCATTTCTACTAAATCATATTATATTATAAAGAAAAACTTTTTCTTATTCGAACCTTAGTTTTGTTTCCTTTTTAGCTAAAAAACAGTTTATCCTATAAAAGTCTAAAATAAACTCTTCTGGCACTTACTTATGATTTAATTATGTCACTCCTGGTAGAGGAAAAACAAACAAACAAAAAACCCTCAAGAAAACTTAACGCATTATTTTGTAGCACATTCTGTTGAACTACTGATTCCTGTTTGTGCTCCAGGCAGCTTCAAATCCTGGGATGGCTGGTCTCTTGGTTTTACTGTTTCTGCTGCAGGATCTGTGCTTATTTGGAGCATGTAAGCTGGGATGCAGCACTCACTTCCTGCAGGGTGATGGCTTTTAAGATTACCAGTGATGTTTTTTACCTGACAGACTATACAAACTGTGATACAAGATTAAAGACCGTAGGCATGTTTAGAAAATCTGGAACAAGGCATAAACTTTGTTGGGTTGACCGATTTGATTTTCTCCTGTAACCATTCTCCAGCGTATTCCTGATGCTTTGGTACCTGTCCTAATTGAGCCCACAGCCAGTGTGAGAGAACTAATTTAAACTACCCTAATATCAAGTTTTGCGAGTCTTCTGCATCCTTTGTGGGCTGGGAAGGACAGAGTAGGCTAGAAGGTGCATTCTTCCCAGGCTAAGTGGTACATTCTGGATTTTGCTTGACTATAGCTTTCTGACACGTACAGTTGACCAGATACAATAAGATGAAATACAGAACAGATTTCAACCTTTAAAAATTCAGGTTATGCCTTATATTAAAATGAAATGTTAACTGTTAGAAAAAACAATACAAGAAAAGCACCTCTGTCAGCTCTGGTTCTGTTTGGGCTGGGAAAGCTAGCTTATGTGATAGACCCTCCCATATGGCAGCCCAGCCTTGGTGGTCTCTCAAACTATCTTAACAACAGGGCATCTAGAAAGTAGCCACAAATATTTGCTAGTCAAACTTGAACTATGTAAAAAAGTTACCAGTTATCCTACAGGTAAATCACAGTAACTCTTAATCCATTTTTAAGCAACAGATTTGCTTAAAATACTTTCAGTAGTTGTATCAGCAGGGCAGTTTAAATTTATACTGAAAAACCCCTCTAAAAGTGAGAAGCAGCTTTAGGTTATCCTGCCTTGACTGATGGTGGCAAGACCTGGAAACCAAGAAGCAATTACTTCTTAAAGCCACTCACATGCAATTGCAACAACATCTATGATTGTACCACAGTTTGCTCCAGAAGTTGGTCATGAGTGTCATTAGCTGAGCCATTTAATGCTTCCACAACTGTCACATCAGATTTTTTCCACAAATATGCAACCAATGGTAGCCTGTCAAGGCAAAGCCTCTTGGCCACCAACAAATATCAATCCCCTTCAGCTTGTACAAAACCAGCAATGCACTGTTACAGCCTTGCCACAACCATTATCAGAACGACTACATTATTTTAAATTAACATTAACTTCATTTCATCAATTCTCATTACAACCCTTTCATCATTAAAAAGATATATAGTTCTTTATAGCTAGTTGTCACTTTTTTATAATGTAACACAGCATGCCCTTCCAAATTTGCTCAGAACATGGTGGGTAGGGGTGGTTAACGAATTGGTAGGTTGTTGTGGTTTTTATAAGGTTATAGGGAGGGGGAAAAGAAGATGAGTATTAAAGAATATTGAGAAAAATTAAGTCAGGGTTAATATGTGTTTCAATACCATAAATATTTTTCATCTGTGTGCTTTTTTTAGGAACAACAAAACAAATAAGAACAAAAAGAGAACAAAACATATGCAGAGTAAGATAAACAAGACACTTGAAACAAGAAATAGTAACATGGATGATGAAGGTGCAACAGGGACATAAGCCGAACAGCTGGGTTTAGCTGTGTTACACTGTACACTCCTTCCCACACACTTAGCTATTTTAACTGTTGTTTTTGTTCAAGTTTCTCTTTTTTACACATCCCATTCTGCACTAGACTCAGCAGTGCTTAGCACAGTCTGTTACTAATAGATTTTGTTATAGATTAGAAGCCAGATTTCTAAAGTCTTTGCACTTAATTTCATGCAAACATGAATGTGCCCATCTTATTCAAGCGAACAGCCACACAGGCACAAATAATTATTTATGTGCACAAGCAACCAGCCATAGATTCGGCAGTCCTCTTGTCCTTTCTGTGCATGACTCCCTCACAGTGCTTTATATCTGAAGTGCTAAATATCTGCTAAACATAAAATTCTTACAACTTCTATACATTATGATATATAACTGCACTGATCTGGGAAGTCATAAGTCCAGCACTTTGGATTCTCATGGCATTCTCTTTATCTTGAAGCACACCTAGCAGGAGATTTATCACTGAAAGGATAACAATACAGTGGTTTTCTCCATAACTTTCTTTCCAGTGGTTCCACTACTAGACTTAAAGCGCTGTAAATAATTAAGTAGATACCTACTAATAAGAGGCAGATTGGTTGCTAATGGCCACAGCACTGTCAGCTTCAGTTGGACACCACACTACAAGAAGTCTAAAGCTAGACTGAAGTCCATCTTGGGACAGGAAGTCTGAAGTATAGTACTTGGGGCAGAAATAGCATCTTTCACAAAATAGAAGCCAAGGAAGGAGGAAAGCAGGTTAAACAAAGGAGAAAGGGGAAGAAATCTTCTGTGACTTGTCAGTGGCAAGTCCCGATGCTGGAATCAATTGAACTCCAACATATTTGGGCCATTACTACAAAAAGAAATTAAACCAGTATAAACAATCCTATCCAAATGTAGCAGTAGGACTGATGAATGAAAATTAAGGCTGTCTGATCATGAAGCTACATCTCAGATCAGGGGCATAGCCAGCATCCATGAGTTAAAATTCAACTGTTTCTCTATGGTATCTCTGCATACTGTATCCCTCCTAAAAACATAGGAAGGAGAACAGAAAAGATTTTCCTTTTTTTCAATTCATCTGTCATACTAAACTAAAGAGCAGGAATGACAATGATTCATCTCACAATGAAAAATGGCTTAAAGTTGGAATTGTTTTCAAGCATGTTTTTACCATATGATCAATGTGTGAGCTCTGTATCTTCTATGCTGGTCCACTGAAAGCCAGTCTTAAAAGTTAACATTTTGAAACATTTTTGTATTCTTTTTCCCTTTTTGGTTAGGGCTGTCTATGATAATCAAGTCTGAGAGTTTTATTCTGTAACTGTCTTGTCTAAGAAATGCTTGAAATCAAAATCAGAACTGAGATGCAAATGTAATTAAAATTTATGGCTTAAAAATCCAAATAGGCAACTTCTCGTGCAGACCTGAGTCTGCAACACTGCAGCATGTCTGCCCGTATAATCCATGGGGGGAGGGGAGGGAAGAAAATACTGCAAGAAAATTGTTTTGAAGAGGCCTTCTTCCAAATCTTATTTCATTTATTAAAAACCTCTGATTTTAAGCTTGTTTGGTGACCACTTGTCCTTTTTAATAGTATCACAATTAAAACGAGTTTCATGGATTTGAATTTCTCTTTTAGAGTCTATATCAATAATGTTTATTCTACTTTATCATACAAACTGTTACTGGTATGCACCAAATTATCTTTAACTAGCTGCAATACTGAAGACAGTGCTTCACTTGTTCTGTAATTTATAGATCTGATCACTTCCAGTTTTCTTTCAGGCCTCTCTGAGATTCATGGGCTGTGTACTTCCCTCAGTACATCACTCCTATTGTCAGTCATTGTGCTGCGTCCATGTTCAGAAACATATTGACTAGAGAATTGATCTTTTGACCTGTAACTCACTGAATGGCCTATCTCCCTTCTACTGAATAGATCTGCAGCAAGCTGCTCTTTGAGGTCCGTTGATTCTGATCTTCTAACCATTTCTAAACATCATTTGGAGGTCACAGAGTGACAGGACCTTTACTTTATTTGTTTCTCTGTCTTGCCACAGAAGGTAGGGGACAGCAGTATGGATTTCACACATTCTTTCAAAAAAGGGGACTATTCTATTTATTGGCTGTGGTGTAAATTTACCAGGTTAATTTACAGGAGAGAGTAGCAGCAGAAAGTCTAACATAGAAAAATGGGGCTTTTTGGAACTGCAGGAAATCTGTGACAAATTTGCACATAAGAGTACACACGAACAGCCACTAAATGACAAAAAGACACAAAATTGACTATAAAGGTACACATACTTTTTTGAACAGAGATTTAAGTCTCTTCACCAAAAGAGAACACAGAAATACATTTTGAATAAGTACTTTTTTTTTTTAAGATATTAGTTATGTGTTTCTTTAAAAAAAAAATTAGAATTAGAGAACACTTCCAATTTATTTTCTCTTAAAATCCTAGACCCTAAAGAGCAAGAACCCACTAGCATAAAATTCTTAACAAAAACTCACCACAGAAATTGTTTGGTCAGACAGCTTTATTATGCCAAATCCTGCTGGAGCTACAGGTCTCTCAGCTTGTATGCCTGAGTCTGAGTTTGCCACTGGCTAGATGCTCTCACTCCCTATTTATGAGATTAGGTTGATCGCTTTACCTCTCAGTTCCACTGTTTTAAAAAAAACAAGACCAATGCAATCTAGCTATCCACCATTTTAGCAGAGAGTAGGTTGGACAAAACACTTCACAGGGATTTGGTAGCAATAACAGTGTCTGAGGTTTTATCTGAAGTATCTAAGGTTAGTACAAGATTGCCAAATTAAAATACAGCATCTCTGACAACAGTTTAGAGGATACAGGACAGGATATTCCATATTGTTGTCATAGTCAGTCAATGGCAATGCTCCACAGAGCTTCCCAAAATACTGTTCTGGTAAATACATAACACATTCAGCTCACCAGCACGTTATAAAGACAGCTTGATTTGTAGAAAAGGCTGTCGCAACATCACAAAGTCTTACATAGGAACTGGATGCATTTGGAATAGGAAGAAGCAACTTTCATGGCAAAATTGCATGCAAATTAACGACACATGCAGAGAGCCAGGACATGACAAATGCAAAATCATCTGTGCAAGTACACATGTACAGTTCTGAATACCTGAATCTGTGTGACAATATTGTCTAGTACTACTCCTAACCCAGGTAAAGAACATTTATTGAAGTATGGGGGCAGACAGCACATCAGAGTCAACAATTCCAGGGGAAGGATATTCAATTAGTGGCATATGTAGATCTGCCAATTTTAAAGTTTTAGCCATGGTGTTGGTGAGATTATTCCTTCTTTTCATGCCCCACAAGCCACAGAGCATACATGCTTCAAGATATTGTGCAAGCTGTGTCTGGAAAATAATTTTTTATTTGACCAGGAACAGTCCCATTAAACCATCTGCCCTGCTGTGTAAGCTAAATATAGTACACATTACCTTACAATACATGGTTGTAGACTGGTACAGTATAGTATCACGGCTTCAGTGAAATTAGCAGACCTGTGGCCACTTGCTGTATTTTCTGGGGACCATGACTGGGAAGTTTATCTGAATAATACCTGAACAGCTCTAAGTTTTCTTAAGCATACAGAAATGAAAGTTTAATTCATACCTTACAAATCAAGCAAATATTAGAAATTCTGTCCTCTTAGCTCTTCTGAATGAGAATGTGAATTTTAAAATGTTGTATACAATAATTCCAGTGGAAAAGAAATTTTACTGAAACAAAATTCTACACAAAGCCTCCCAGCAGTAACATACACTTTGTACATGTTGAGCTAGGAGCTAGTTAAACTGGAATATCTATTGATTTCTTTTATTTAATAAATATAACTTAAGTCATATTTCCACCTAAAACCTCTGTCCAGTAACTCACAAATACCTTATTTCTAATCTGTCAATGAATTTACTACTTGTGAAAACAAAATACTAGTATAGCATGATCTTCATGCAGGCAACATGAGAAACAAATCAGAAAATCACCCCACAACCTGGCCAATTCAAAAGCAGCTGATCAAAGTCAGCTACGTGCCTTAAAATTTTATGATTACTGTAAATGGACACTTCCAAAATGACTTAAATGTGAAAAACAGCAGCATATCTTGCCGTCATAAAAATACACAATAGCCAAGACAAAAAAAGTCATTTGAGTTATGCTAATGGGTTTGGGTAGCAGATCGTTTTGCCTCTAAATAGCCTCCTTCTTTGGATTCAGCAGGCTGGTAAACACCATAAACTGAGATTATGTACTAGCAGCTACCACTGTCTAAAAACATGGTTGTTTTAAACAGCCATGATAGTTTTCAAACTATGTGTTTTAGAAAGCTGAATAGTTAAATTTGACTCAACCATTTCACTTGAAACCTGTAAAAATGCAGATATAGTTCAACACTTCAACCTCCAATGGCAGTGAGCTGTTCTGCAAGATCTGTTTCTTCATCACTGCAGTAGAAAAACAAAAACTGAAAGAAAACAAGTATTGCTTATGCTAATTATATTTAAGTGAAGTTAGAGATGTCCTTTTTTCCTAAATGATTTTTTTTTTCCAAGAAAAAAGCATACTTAGATTTGATTAACTGAAGAAAAAAAAGACATCATAAGAGCATATGGAGTATGACAGGATCAAAAGATTTGTTTCAAAATGTTTCACCAAAACGCTTCAATTTCAAGGCTAGCTTTAGGCCTGTTATATCCACTACAATGAGCAAGACGTAAGAGTTAGTGGCATGGAAACACAATTCATGACAATTATTAGAAATCTAGAACTTCCCAAGAATGAAAAAACAACAGGCCACATCCTTAAACTCTACTAATATACTTAAACTAGCATGACCTAGAACAGCAATTAGGTCCTCTAACTTATTCTCTTGATTAGTTTACCAGTCCATACCAGTACCCCAGTCAGCAGAGCACAAAAAGAACAAAGCAGAGTTTTGTCCTGCTTCTTTCTCAGAACTTAAGCTCCACAGAGCCACTCTCAGATTTGTCATGAGAGGATGTGAATGTTCATGCATAAACTTCTTTTAACATGTGAATTGTTAATGCAGAATATACATAACTTAAAACTATTAAACAGTTATAAACACATTAGAGTTAACAGCCTAGATAAGTAAACACGCTTACCTCATGTGGATTGGTATAGCCCAAAAGTAGATTTGCTGCTTTAATGTCACCATGAACATACTCATTTTCATGTATATATTCCAAAGTATCCAACTAGGAAAGGATTTAGGACAGAAAAGAAAACATCATCATCTTCTCCACTCTGCCCCTAACCCTACCAGCAAATATTTCTCACTTATACAGTGAAATCAAGGGCTACACAGACCGAGCTGAGAAATTTGTTTTGAGTTAGAGCACAAGGACTACCCACTCTGTCCACAGGGTCTGCTCCTACCAGGCACATAGCTGATGGTAAATCATAAACAAGCCATATTTTGCCATGAGGTATCCCTGTGTAACTACCCATGAGTATCAGCTTCTAAGGTCACAAAACAAGAATGATACTAGTACTTTATAAACACTGGAGGAAATGTTGAGAACAACAAGCTCTTAAAAAGAACATACTCAATCAGCCCTGAAAGTTTATATTTGATCCTGCCAATTATTATTTGACTTGCATTTCATGTCACCATCCCCCTGCATCATCATCATCATCCTTCTTCAGCCCCTTGCACGTGTTTGCACTTGGCAACTCATACAAAGGACAATCTAGTCTTGGCTTTTGGAGAGTACAAAGAGTGTTACAAGTTTGTCAATTATGTGACTACAAAGGCCCTTCACTTTTTTTTTTTTTTAATTATTACTATTATTTAGGTTAGAAGGAAACTTTGGAGATCTCCCGTCTAAACCCCCTGCTTCAAGCAGGACTAATGTAAGTTAGGTCAGGTTGTACGAAGGATTGAATAGTCAAGTTTTAAAAGTCCCCAAGCATGGACATTTCACAGCCTCTGGGAAGCATGTTCCAGTGCTAAGACACTCTTTCTGCAAAAACTTTTCCTTTACACTCAGAGTTCCTCTTCCTGTAACTTAAGACCGTTGCCTCCCATTTGCTGTGCACCTCTGTTCAGTAATAGCACAAATGATATTACAAAGGAGCATGTATACAACCTTCTGTTAGTATGTGCCAGTCTACAAGCATTTGAAAACAAAACTGTATTTGCAGACTAGCCTAATCTTGGCCTGTACAATCAGTGTGTTCAGCAAACACACTGAAAATTTTGCATTCAGGCATGCAATTGTGAACTTTGACAAATATGGATGTCTAATACAATACCCTTCAGACACTGAAAAAAAAAATCAATACATGTGTAAGCCTATTCTCATATGCTTTAACATCTCAGTCTAGACATACATTTTGAAGTGTATGGTCTATGTTTTAACCTATTAAAAAAAATTCTGTTTAAGCCCACCAACTTCCAGACTGCAGGGGGTCTCGATTTTCTACATAATACTCATTTTTTTTAAAAAAAAAAAAAAAAAAAAAAAAAGAAAACACATAGCATTTACGCATGTTTAATTCTAAACTCAAGAGCTACCTAAAGGAACAACACTAGAAAGATAATTTTCTAGCTGAACTCAGCAAGTTTGAGACATAGCAATTTCCTCTCTCTCTATACATACCATTCGTGCCCCAAGTTGCAGAACAGTCTCCTTCTTAAATCTCCTTCCACAATCTTCAAAGATTCTTTGAAGGTCTTCCCCCAGCCTCTCCATGACCATGAATCTATAGCTATCAGGAAATACATAAAAGGGAGGAATCCTTTAAGACAAGACTGCAAGTTTGTGTCAGATTGAAAGGACTTATCTCGATTTTGTTGAAAATGGATCTTCAGTCAATTTGAGGCTTAATTACAATTCATCTTGTTACCTTTTTCCCTTGTACTCAGCCAAGCCTGATCCCCAAAACACTGGAATTCCTAAACATCTTATTTTTTTGAGATTCATCCATTTTCTTACTGTAATAATAAAAAAAGATAACATTGGGTTAAAGGTAGCTAGAGAATTTCAGGTTTGGTGTGGGGTTTGTTGTTTTTGTTTTAGCTATCAAGCCAAGACTTTAAATGAAACAATGAAACAAATAAGGCTTATTTGGCAGGCTGTGTAGCAAACAATTCAGACCACAACTTTACTCTGAAGTTCTCTACATTCTGCAAAACAAGTTTTTTGTTCTAACAAACACTTTGTTCCCTTAGAAGGCAGATAAGCAATTATCAATAGCTGAAGAAATAATTCCTTTAGAAGCTCTACGCTATTCAATACAGAATGCTTCAAGCTATCAAAAGTGCTTATGTCTACCAGCAATCTAAGTCATCTAAAGTCTTTAGAACGGTTCCCATGAATAAATCACATCCATGCTTAAGTGTCTGCAGAATCAAGTGCCTTGATTACTACTAAATCCTGTGATGATTACACACACTCTTAGCTCTGCACATGGAAATAGTTACTAGCAGAAATATGGTCACCAATTAGTCCATGTAGTACCTCTGTTCTAAGGCTGGCCTCTTTCCATTCATCGTTGTGCACTCTGAAATGCACACATAATAAATTTGGCATGTTTCTGTTCTCCCTTCTGATCAGAAAGGACAAGGATGACATCCAAGTAAAGAAACCTATAGCAATCTAAAATTATTATAGCACCAACTAGGATTAGTTCAGTGCATGTGAAATGAGTTGGCTATCAAGCTCTAAAGCAACACTTCTTATTAGAAGCAGTTAAACCCAAGCTTGTCCTTAAATCTACCTGAACCAGAACTGATATACTACTTACTATGTTCTTGTTTTGCAGCCCTCTGGTAAAATTTCAGTTCAGAAAATAAGGGTCCATTTTCAAGATATTCCTATTGAGAAATAAACAAACTTAGTATCATAAAATGCATTAGAAAGACAACAGTTTATAAAGAAAAGTGTATGAGAAATTCAAAGGGGATGAAATCCCTTTTTTTCCCTACCTCCCATATACCATACCATCTGAAATGTAATTTTAATAAGCAGCTAAAAAGAAAAGTTGTTTCGCAACACATTTTCATAAACAACTCTGATTCCTTCAGGAATTATTTAAGACACTATTTTCAGAAATACTGTAGATCAGGTGCGTCTAAGTTCATAGTCTACTTTTCCTTACTAAACTGTTGAGGGTAGTAATCAAGGAAAGGAAAGAATGAAGTCAAGGAAATACTGTGTGTCACAGAAATGCCAAATATATCCCCAAGCAGGGAAAGTATATCAAGATATAAAAAAAACAGGGAAAAAAACAAAAGCCACAAGCATGCAATACAGACCCAATGTTGAAAATAAGGATAGATAATTAAGAGAAAGAAACGCATACAAGTTAACAATATAGAAATGAGATCTACATATTACCACTTTAATTACATGCACTGCATCATCTTCTACAGGAACATGAGTCTGAGGGGAAGCTGCAAAATGAGAAAGAGATGGGTATCAAGCTGTATGCAACAAAATGTAATTGCAAACAAAGACCTACCTAACATTGCATAAGGTGACCAAAAAAACCCATGACAAAGATATCCAATGTTTTGTTTGAATTCCTGCTTTTAAAGGTCAGAGTTTTGCCAAGTTCAAAGAAAAACAAAATGAAAACAACACGCACACACAGAAGTTTTAATCAACAAGTACAGAAGCAATTTTAACCCACATTCTCAGAACTCTCTCCTTCAATGCTAATTAAGGAGTAAGCAGGATGTCCCTATTGCACGTTTGCACCACAATGGGGTATTCCATTGTAACAGACTATGTTTAAGTCATTCCAGTCAATTGGATAAGTTCTGTATTTGGTTGCTGTCAATCCACTGTCGTGACAAAGACCCCGCTTAAAAGTTGTGACCTACATTATGCCTGTAGACAGGATTGTCTGCTTTCCTCTATTACAAATTAATTTGGCCCTAGAACCTTGATTTCTATTCTGACATAATTTAGACACCGGCCTAAGTTAGGGACAGCACAGCCACCACCTACCTAAAGGGGAGATGAGGGATTGTGCCTCTTAGTGCAAGTAGAGATTTCAAAACAATAATTGACCACATGTGCCAATTACAGCCCAGGAGACAGAACCTCTCTGCACAGACAATGCAATCCTATTTTCTTCTGACCCTGAGAGAACTATCAGTTCTCTCTGATACTACTGAAGCTACATGCAGCTACACTGGGATTAAAATTTAATGAGACTAAATCATCTTTTAGAATCATCACTGAAAAAAAAATAAAAAGAATACAGTTCCTAGGAGATAAGTGTCCCTTTCAAACTTCTTATAATGATCAAATACCAACAACAGTCCAGGTGTGAAGCACTTCAACTATCAGCACACACAAAAATAGACTAGTTTTATCCACATAATAAAAATCAAGTAAACTTGGACCTAATCAAACATCCAAGCTTTCACCTTTTGATGGTCAGTGCATAAAAATATTTTTACAATGAACAGACTCCTTCAGCTGCCATCTTCCTTCAATTCTATTCAGCACCTGGGTTGAATCTGGCAGCATACACACCCCAAACACCTGCAGGCTCCCCACTACCTTCTGCTTGACATTTCCCCATGTGAATGCTTCTGTGCTAATAACACATTAAGATAAAATGAACATATCCTAAAACAGTAGCTCTGTAAGGTGCAAACTATCCGTAGACTCAAACGGGCAGCAGTCACATTCAGAATACAATTTAAAACTATCATACAACCAGGAAGGAAATTTTGGTAAACTGTGTTCTTACCATATTATTCTACAGAACTGGGAATTAAGGCACAGGTGCTTGAAGTCTTTATCTTTCTCTGCCACATGTAGACTATGAGTTAATAGCTGAAGACATTAGTTTAAAAGGAACACATTCCATGTGTTTTCATTGTATTCAACAACATCACATTACCCAAACAGAATTAGATGTCCTCCCTTACTGACACAGATCAGAAAAGAACCTGTGTATAAGGAAATGTATTTTAATACCAAGTTACTTAACAGAGTTTTGATAGGTATAAAGAAGTATCAAATTTAAATGTATTTGAAAGAGTCTGATCTAACTTCCCTGCAGACATCTTGACATTTTATAAAGAGAGGCCTCATTCATGGTAATCTGGAACAGACAGTAACAGCTGTCAGGGTAATGAAGAAGAGCAATTAACGGGAGGTAGCCCAGCAAAAGGGCCTAACCCCCATGGTTCTTACACTATGCCAGTGTGGATGCTTTTTGGAGTCACACTGAAAGAACATCCTGAAGAAAAATAAAACCAAAACTAACTGGCAATCATTACAACGTGAGAAGGAAGAAGAGTCAGACAAAGCTCAACAACATACAGGAACAGAAGCACCACAAAATGAGTAAAGTGACATTCAAATCCACAAAAGGAGAAATGGTATTATTGTTGTTTTTACTGCACATACATGAAACAAGGCATAACATTCACAGTTAATAACATTCTGAACTTCTTACATAGATAATGCTTAGACAATTAATCTCATACATACAGATAAGCAGAAGTTGCATGCATACCTTTTGTTACATCATTTTAATTAACTATTCATATATCAGGCAACAATACTTTAGCTGCAACTCAGAAATAAGACAGGCTATTTTTTGTCCATAAACATACATAAATGGTTTTTAAAAAATTGTCTCATTACTATGTATAGTTACTTAACAGAGTGGAAAGGCTCCCAAGGTTTAACAAACAGTCTGATTACATACCTCATAGACCACCACCACATACTCTCCTGTGAGTTTAGCTCATAGTTAATTACTGTATACTTGTAATTAGCCATGTGCTAGCCTCGTTCTGTGTGGTAGCACATGGCTATTTATAATATTACAATCAGTTAAATGCTAGACTGCAGGACAGTAAGCAGAGACCCTGCAGGAGAGCAATGCTGATAGGCAGGAGGTCTCTGATGGCATATAAGTACACACATAGAGTACCAGGAGCACTATATGGTGAGATTACGTTTGCAAAGGATATCTTGAAATAGCATAACAAGTGTGAGTGTTCCCAGCTAACAGTTTATGTTGTTTTTACCAACTAGAGATGCACAATCTCCTTGCATTTTGGGGGAAGGGCGCTGATGTATGCATATAATCAAAACCATTGTCTGCATAATTGTTAACTGGGAACACTGGTGCAAGACGAAGCTGTGTAGGGGGCTGTGGCTGTTTCTATCTCATGCCAAGATGAGTCTCACAAAACATTTGCAAAGGGGAAAGGACACAGCTCTGTTTCCCCTTCCTCCCCTTCATCCCACAATCGTAGCTACCATGCCAGTGAAAAGCATGTGAATTTAAAATGCACTCTGAAATAAAGCAGTGCAGGAAGATTCACATTCTTTGCCATAATTTCCCACTGTTGTGCCTACACAACACAGCAAATAACTTACCTCAAATTAACCCATGTCCAGAATTCCCTAGCTTCACCCAGGCACAGCAGTTATGGTCTTATCATCCACTTTAATTGTGAATTTCATCCGTTTTGTTGCCGAGTGCCACAACCTTAATTAATGTAGCTTTCTAAATGTTAATAAGACATGGTAACAAAAGGGTGTTTCTGGACGAACTGCAATTTCCTACAGCCACACAGCACAATTGCATGCAGTCTGACAAAGAAACGTGCCAATTCTATTTGCCAGTTCAAACGTGCTTGTTGTAGTTTTAGCAGTTAATATGTGGCAGTCACATTTGGAATACGGTGAAATATTTTCAATGGCTCTCACAGAACCAGTTTTGTTGACAAAGTTTGCACAGTGGAAAAGAAAACAGCATTGATTTGGCAGTTTGGAAAAACATCCCTGCTCCTGTCCACAGCTGTTGTCTTTGCCACTGCTGGATATTTTGAGAATATATTTGTTTGGGAAACATGAATAAAATTATTTTCAGAAGTTCTTGGGTTGCTAGTATTTTATTTTTGCTTTGCTTCATTGGTTAACTAATCCTGAAGAGTGATATTGTCAGCTTAGTTTTCTGCAGAAATAAAAACTAACCTCAAAAATACCACACTTCGAAGTTACAGCCTACCTATAAAAAAAGCTGGAAAAATTCTGACCCTGTTTAAGTCAAGCCAAGAGCTGTTAAATTCAATGGCTAACAAACGGGGGGGGGAGTGTCACTCAGAGCATCTAACAATAAAAAACAATCCAAGTTGCAGGAATATAGTTACTAAAAACAAAATGTAAACAAATAAATAAAAAGTAGCATCTGCTATTTAACACACAACTTCAAATACTTCCTACACATGGAAGGTACTAAGGCAAATATTTAAAGGCGAACAAAGCACATTGCATTCCCCCCCCACCTTTGCAATACCCAGTATTTCCCAAGAACTGAAACAATCAGTGCTTGAAGTCTGTTTTTACCATAGCCTAAGGAAGACCTGCTTCTTTGCTCATATTGTTACTTTAAAAATACATCATCATTTCCTGGACAGACTTTTCTGAGCAGTGTTTATGAATAGGGTTTTTTCTAGATTCTTCTTCTAGGTAGCTTTATGAATGTAGAGTTTTATTATACAGATTACAGATACATAGCCCTCTGTACCATGCTTGTGAAACCATCTTCTACAAGACCCAACTAAACTGGTTTTGGTAGAAAATTGTGTTCAACTGCTAAACTGTTTTGCGGGTAACTGCAAACACCTCCAAGTTAAGAGCATTCAGTACTGGTAGGAAATTTCACTACTACTACTACTTACTCATCTTTCTATGAAACCTTAATCTTGATTCACTAGAGCCAAAGTTTTCTGTTCCACAGCAATGGAAGCCACTGTTTGACTTTCAAAGTTAATTACTCTAAAATAGCTATGACACATCCTTTAACCCCAGGCAGAAAAGCTATGCATGGTCTGCTCTTACAGCACTCTCAGATGGGAGTCCAGGCCTCTAATATTTAAAACTTGATGCACAAACTCTTTTCTGGCAAGATTCTGCTCCAGCCCATCTGCTAGTCTGACATGGTGCCCACTCAGAATATACCATGCCAGTTTCAGTAGGGTCCAGGTGCCAAAGACGGCTGAAGGGAGTGCCCTCCATAAAGCAACAGGTGCCCTATCTCTCATCCAAAGCTCTTCCTGTTACCATAGAACACTGCTCAGAAACACATCCCCCACTGAAGGTAAAAAAAACACCAAACAACCTGAACAACAACAACAAAAAAATCAAACCTGCTCTCTTGACTTTCTAGTTTTAGTTTGCATGCCAAGGTCTCAGTCCCCGACCAGAACTCTCACAAGGTGGACTAATGAAGAGCATGACAACAGCTCCCAAATGACAGGTCCACACATATGGGGGAAAAAAACCCCACCCAATACATTATGTGGCAGAACGCTAAAGTGTAATAGTAATGATCTCTGCAGACTTTGTAACATAACAGGCTTTAGACTACTGGGTAAAAATGACTTATGCTTTCGAAGTTAAGACTTCTAGC